GCTGGGTTAAACTTTTTGCCTATCAGTCATTGGACCATGAGCAGGTTCCCAAACTTTGTGGAGAAGCAGTGAAATGAGCCTTCATTTTTCAAAGCACTCACATGTGAACAAGTCTCTCCTGAGAACAAACCAGACTAATGAAAACCTGCATGCACTGCTCAGAGGTGGTTGCCTCCTCACTGGAGCCCAGTGTCCAGCATTATCAGGGCAGTGCTGCAATTATTTTTATACTGTATATAGCAGAATGTTAAATATTAAATTAATATTAATAAGTAAATACATGGATGAACCTCTGTAGTGTACAGCTAGTAAACACATGAATCCTGACACAGGGAGAGAAAACAAAACCAGTTTTACCAGTCACTTGACTTCCAAATACTAACAATCTCCAGGATATTCAGAGAGTTTCTTGCCATAGAAATGGCAATTTAGTTTTTTGTGTATATTTACTCTAAAATATTAAATTTTAAAGCCACTATGTACTGTACATTTTTTATCATTTTCATCTAAAATATTTTCAGTTACATTTGTTTTTGCTGCACCTTTTTTCTTCTTAGTAGTTGATATAAGTTAATAATAGTTAATAATAAATAATAATAAGTTTTATAATCATTTGGCTTCACCAAAGTGGTTGAAGTGCTTTCTCATGTAGCACCTCTTTCAGCTTAACTTTTCTGATTGCATTGTCTCCTTGCAGTGGTACTGGGGGTACACCTTTAAGAATCATTGATGTGTAAAGGGGTACAAACCAAAAACTTGTTATGCTGTAATTATTTTCAGAAATTTAATTTAAATGTTATCTATTACCTAATTGCATTTTAGGAGCCATAGCTTTTTGTTTATGCACAATACGTAAGGGTAGAATATGGCATAACAGCGGTGTACATCAGCTCACGACAATTATGGTTTAACAGGTATATTTATATATACCTGCTTATGAGTATATAAAGCAGAATACCACAAACTCTGAATACGGTACAACTACTGTATGCATCTTGTGTGAGTACTGGATTCAACCTTTCTTTTGATTAAAGAAAAAGCCTCTATATAGTACAGACTTGTATCAGATACAGTACATTGCAAACTTTAGGACACGACCAACAAAGTCATTCAAATCATAACTCTAAATATTTTTTTTTGTTTTTTACATGTTTAGATTTGTTAAAATATGACCACTGTGTATAATTATCTATACTCAATTACTGATACTTCTGTGTACTGAATGTAACTAAGAAAACAATCATTCTGTTAGTGTTATACAGTATTTTTACATAATGTATCTCATTTGGAGTTGTGTGTCATCATAGTATTTAACAAAACTGTCACTGGTACAGTATGCATACAGTATGATTTGCCCCCTTATGTTTGTTTATCTTAGGTGCTTTTAGGGTCTTTAACACTTCTACCTATTCTAATTGTTTGATCTAAGTTAAGATTTCTAGTGACCACTTTTTCCTAGGTTGTGCAGTCAGTAGGAGAGTAAATGTAGGAGCCCACTTCAGCAGCATTTTCAGCTTGCGGATCTACTTAACCCGACTTTCTTCAGTTTCTGTAGTAAAGGCATACAGTAGCTTGGTTAACAAAGAGTTACACTATGTAGAAGCGCATCCTGGGTTATGCTGTAGCTTTTCAGTTTCTTTCGGGATAGTGTTAGATGTGCCTTGTGTGTAGACCTGTTATCAGAGTAATGGCTTGTATGTGACTCTGTGTTGTGCTGTGAAATAAAATAAACATTAAATAACAAAAACAATCCCTGTGGTCTCCTAATCCCCTAAATTATCACAGCCCCAGTTCTTGTGTGTCTCAAAGAAAAGGATAAGAAAATAAATTACAAGAAAGCAAACTAGACAAATTGCAGTAGCAAGAGAGCAAGTGGAGAGGGAAGGTAGTGATTTCCCTTAATCTACTTTCCTATCTGCTATATTATAAACTTTGTTGCAGTACAGTAGCACTGCATTTATAACAGGCAACAAGATGTAAAAGGTAAAGAAAAGTTATTATTTCATTCTCTAATAAGAATAAAAAACAAACTGTTCTACAGGGTAAGCAACAATATCATAGCAGTGATCACATTTGTGTGCAGATGAAATAACCTGAGTTACCGTCTAGGGAGAAAAAGTTTTTAAAATTTCCAGTACTCATTTACATTTAAATTACTACCAATAATTACTAACACTATTCCTGAAATAGTTAACAAAAATATTATACCTGAAGAACCCTTCACAGCTGAAACACTGTTTCTTTTCCTAACCTTTTAGCTTGGAATGAACCTTTACCTGTTTCTTTGCAGTCTATACTGTACATGCTGATGCAGCTACCTGCTCGAACCTCTAACATAAATACAGTATTACTATGGAAATGTTTATTTCAAGAGCTGCAGAACCATACGCTATTTTCCCATAAGGTATTAATTTCCTTATTCCAAATCCTTAAGGTACCTAACCCTCATGAATACTGAGGTTTTACTGTAAATACTGTATATACTGTATTTCTACTTCCAATATATAATGTGTACTGGTATAGGCAATGTAGAAGTACATATGTAGATATGTCTAAGATTTTCTACAGTTTGCTGTACCAAAAACAAAAAACTGAACAACAAGAAATATTTGGGCAATGTAGTGAGATGGCTTTGTGAGAAATCACTATCTTGATTTAAACCACAGGCCCAGTGGTGTGGCCCCGAGCCAAAATGGCTGCCTATTAATTGGGAAAACCTGCAGAACGAGGCACAGCTGGTCTGAATGAGTAATTGGCACTCAGAAGGAGTGAAATTCCACTTGAGGAAAATGAGCTGATAGGATAGGCTCCTTGTGGAACTAACCACTCCTCTGGGCTAATTAAGAGGCTTATAAGACTGGTTTGGAGGAAAGGGTTTCAGTCTGTGTAAAGGCTCCAGCCTGGAAGGAGGGAAAGTGAGAGTTCCAGAGGGAGAACTCCTGCAGTAACAGATACAGGCCCATGGGCCAGAGGGGAGTAAGAAGACACAGATAGTGTATATAGTGAGGGGTCCTGAATACTCCTACTACCTTAACATCACATGGAAGGTCTCAGAGTGAGTGAGAGAGAAGGAAACCGCAAACCTGGCTGCTGTTGTGGTAGGGTCTAAAGTCTCTGTGATGGAGAGGCACTGCTGACTAATGGGTGAGGTCTAGTGATGATAAGTGAGTGATGACTTGTGATTTAAGAGATTGTGAACTGGGCTTCATGGGGTAAATTGTGATGGGGAAAAATCCTCGTGGAGATTGGAAGAGGTATGCACAGCCTTCCCTGAGAGGGGACCAATGAGTAAGATTTCAGATATCAGAGGGGATCCGAAAGAACAGCACTGATCACTTAAACGCAAACAAGTAAGATGGCATACTGGTGGTGTTGATATCGTGATGCCAGGGTTTGCAATAATTAGCTTCTTTGACAATTCTAAGCGCAGAGAGATCATAACAGTGCCTAGTACCAGTTAGTTCTGTTATATTCGTAGAGTACTGGCCCACACTGCAAGAAGGCCAAATCACTGACAGCTCTCCAGATTGAGAGGAAAAGACTGGAAATGTTGGTCACATCAGTGAGCAAACAAACTATGAAAATAATTTGTTAAAACTGCCTACATTACAATTATCCCTCAAACACTGGTTTACCCCACTCATAAAACTTGACAACATAATGAAAGGTTTGTGTAAGTTCGTTCCCCTAATGTCATAACCAAAGCCATAAAATCTACTCTGTAAATAAGCCATAAATGATGACTGTCACTCTAGCCTTGAAAGATACTGTACAGCCACCTTAAAGAAACAAAAACCTCACTTGGTTTCAGCTGTGCGGTTATTTTTGTTGTGGTGATTTTGGAGAAAATGCGGTTTTGTCAAAACTTGAAATTTACCTTTCATAAATCAAAGTCAAAATCAAAACAACACATGGTGGCAAGCATAGAATTACAGCTGGAGAATATAATGTCTTAAAAAACTGGACACAAGATTTAAAAGACTCAAATACATGATGGTTGACAAAAAACAAACAAGGATTAGATTCGCGTGGTGCACAGTGGGCAGATCTACAATTTGCCATTTGTTTTTGTTTTTTCCCCCAAACAGTGCATTTGGCTTTTTCCTCTTCAGTGATGCGCAGATAAAGGACTAATAGCAGAAGCATAAGCTTTATATGTACTGTACAGTCCTTGGCAATGCATTGTGTTCAGTATGTTGAATACTGCTACAATTATCAGGTATTTCACAGTAAACAACGCAGCACAGGGCTGCAGTGGTACTGTAAGTATTGCTGCCTCGCAGCACTGAACTCTGGGATCAATTCCTGGGGTGCTTTTGGTGTGGAGTATGTATGTTCCTCTGTGTGCTCCAGTTCCCTCCCACAATCCAAACACATACTGGATGGTTTATTGGCTTCTAGATAAACTGGCCGAGGTGTTTCTAGCCAGGATAGGTTCTGGCTCCCCCACAACCCTGTACTAGATAAAGCAGTTAGAAAATGTATGGATGGATATCAAAGTGGTGTTTGGCTTCAATGCTTAAGTTCAATGAATGCTGACAGAACAGATTTTCCAAGCAGTACATTTTTTTTTTGCTTTTTAAAGAAGGAATGACAAAACTCAAAAGATAAAACATTTTTACATCTAGTTTTGTGACATTACACAATCTCCTGCCAGATTTAATGAACTGTTGAGTTAGCGACAGGGACAACTGCTAGTCTGAAACAAAGAAAGCCTTATTTTATGTTTGGAGTTGGAGGTGCCCTGTGGATTCCAGAGTATGCATGTGTGTGTAGGCGGTAAACCTAGCCCCTACTATAAACACCCTAGGTCATTTCCGTCAATGTCAGACAGGGTCTGTGAGGATGCTAGATTCCCGACATGATACTTTATAAGTTTGTCTGGAAAAGCCAAAGAAAAAAAAAACTGCTGGGTCATACCTTGATCTGAAACACGACTAAAATAAAAGCAGCAGAGAAGTGTCTCTGGAAAGGCTCAGGAGATTGCCCGAGATGTCTACCTTGCTCTGTTTCCTCTCCTCTCTCAGAGCCTCCTGTATGGCTTGGGCCAGCATCTCCCTGTCCCTGGCGCGCTGCTCCTCCCAGACGGCCCTCTCCGCTGCGAGCTCCTCGGCCGCCCTCCGGTGCTCCTGCTGCACTGCATCCAGCACGGCCTCTTTCACGCGCTCCTTCTCCGCCTGCAAGAGAGACGGTTTTCGCCCCGTTTTACACGTGGGACCCTTGTGGTCACGGGGGGGGGGGATCGAGTTTCAGGCGGCACCCTGGCAGTTCGCATAGAAATAACGTCTCTTCTGCAGGTTTTTTTCAAATCTACTTTATTATTGAATTTCCAAACATGGATGGATGTTTGCCCGTTATGCCTTCCGGCATGTAGGAGCAGCAACATCCTCTTGCTGTTTCCGGAACATTCTTTTTTTTTTACAGGACAGGGTTGTTAGCCAACCTCCAACATGGAGGACCTTGTGCCCGACGTGGGACACAAATCCACTGCCCTGAGATTATGAGTCTGATGCTCTACCAACAGAGCTAGTCGAGGCCATCATTTCCAAACACAAGGTTCACAAAAAGTAAAAGAGAGCAAACATCAACAGTAGAAACAACAATACTGTAGCGATACAGTCACACATTTTTTCCAAATTGAATCCTAGTTTAATCCAAATTAATATACTGTAGAATATTGTGTATATTTACATTTACTATTTTAAGAAATTATTGCAAATTGAATTTGTACCCAAGCAAACTGTATTTCTAGCAGCCGTGGAAATTCCATCCCAAGGTTGGATTGTTTGAGGAGTTATCACTTCTAGCAGTTGTATATTCGAAGTCTGCAATATATGGAAATGTGAGTATCCATTATTTATCTGGCACAATGTCTGGGCTTATCCAGAGTTGTGGAACTGCTTTTTTTACAGCTGTAAAACTAGCAAAAACCAGTCCTTTCTGAATTAAAGTAAAATCAACCAAATGGTCATCCTTCAACAAAGCTCAAGCAAGGATCTGGTTTGTAATGTATATACCAGTTGGGTCCAGAGGCTGTGGATGCAGTGTGTTTTTATTTTTGATACTTTCTACTGTAAATTTATTTTTACTTATTTATATATTTATATTTTATATAGTACTCAGTAATACAGATTGGACTGGAAAGGCTACAAGCCACAGAGATGGACCCATTTCTATGAAAATTAAAAAAGATAGGAAACTGTACCTGAATTGCTGCTTCTATTGCCTCTTGTGCCTTCTGTTTCTCCTCTTCTAAACATTTCTCTAACACTTGCTGTAATTACACAAACATCTGTAATATCAATTCTTAAATATAAACGAACCATGAGATTTATATTTAAATCAAGATGGGAATACCAAAAATGAAAGTGGAATATCTTTTTGTTTATTTAAATAATAAATTGATGAATGGTACTTAATTGTGATACCAAATGTATGGGATTTTCATTTAAGTGCAGAAATTGGAAGCTTGTGCAGCTCTTCACCAGTGCTGATTCAACTATAAATTATTTTAACTTCCTGCAGTTACTGCTAGGAGAGTCTGTACCAGGGGTATCCAGTAGTGGTCCTGGAGGGTCAGTGTCTCTGCAAGTTTTCATTCCAAACAAGCCCTTTTGGAGCTATACCAGCCTGATACTGGTTTAACTGGACAAATTTAGAAGCTCTTCCTAGCTCTTCAGGTGCTGCTGCTTTAAAGCTAGAAAATCAAGAGACACACAGGTGTCGTAGGAACATGACTGAACACCCCTGAAATGGATACAATACAAAATGTCTTGGAAAACATATACAGTACTGTAATACAGCTCAAAAACAAAGCTACGAAACTGTAACATTTAGAGTAGTCGATCAGAATTTCAGAAAACCCCAAAACATGAAATATGCTAAATTCCTACATCATAAGGCCTTAATATACTGTCCACAGCAAATTCAAGGTAAACTATGAGCACATACAGGGAAGAAGAAATGGAAAAGACATACAAAATATTGACTGGATCTCCACTAGTGGTAAAAGTCAGAATACAATGTCAGAAGGCTGGCCTGGTGTCAGTTACACGGTGAACTTCTTCAGAAGATTTGAATCACACATACTGTAATATTCACCAAGGTTTTCAAATTGTTTTAGATTAAGTGTTCTGTTACATATCAAATTGTGAGCTTGCACAATTTGAAAGTAGATTTTATAGTCTTACTGAGTACAATGGAGCGATTTTTAATTCAATATAGTCTTCACTAGGCATCCCATTCAGGGAGAGGGAGTCACATGCTTTCTCGTCTGCCACTGAGACCAGGATGCACTCTTGACCAGGATGACATTTGATACATTTATACTTCCTGCATTCGGGGTAATTTCCAAAATTCGGCTTTGTCTTTTTTGTAGGGTTAGAAATACACACACATATTATGTAAGATTTGTGCTTCCAGTTTCAAGAGTGAAACACACTAGAAAGAAAGAGAGGTGGGTAACTGTTAGCCTTTTCAATACAGCCAACTTAAATATTTCCTTTATTGAAAGTGGTACCTTCTGATGTTGCGCTTGTTGACTCAAAGTTTCTTTTAATTCTTCTTCTAAAGCCTCTCTCTCAGCATCTATCAGGTTCAACAGCCTTTGATGCTAGAAAAAAAGCAAAAACACAAAGATTTTCTCGGATGTGGAGAAGAATATTACACACTTTATTTGTACCCAACATTGACTGTTATAGTAAACTTATACTGTAGTACTTTGTTGTTTTCACCTCAGTGCAGGGTGTTTATATCTCTCAGTGCAAAGTTGCATCTGAACAATGGAATTATAGACTTTACTGTTTCTATATGTCAAAAAGGAGTGATAAGAGATGGGTAAGAATATTTTTCTCTTATTAGGCACTCCTGTTCAGTGCAGCTTAATCACAATTAGCATTAAGTACTTAGTCTACTTTATTTAGCCAGCAGCCATATCACCCTGCAACTCACAACTTGCAACCCACTGAACCTAAGCAGGTGTGAGCCAAACGAAGGTTGCTGCTGGAAGAGGTGTAGTGGAGCCAGTAGGGGGAGCTCACCCTCCAGTCTGTGTGGGTCCTAATGCCCCAGTATAGTGACCAGGACACTATACTGTAAAAAGGTGCTGTCCTTTGGATGAAACGTAAGATGACTCTCTGTGGTCATTAAAAATCCCAGGGCATTTCTCGATAAAGTAGGGCTGTAACCCCGGTGTCCTGGCCAAATTTCTCATTGGCCCTTACCAATCATGGCCTCCTAATAATCGCCATCTATGAATTGGCTTCATTACTCTGCTCTCCTCCCCACTGATAGCTGATGTGTGGTGAGCGTTCTGGCGCACTATGGCTGCCATCACATCATCCAGGTGGGGCTGCACATTGGTGGTGGTGGAGGGGAGTCCCCCTTACCTGTAAAGCGCTTTATGTGTAGTGTCTAGTAAAAAGCTATATAAGTGTAAGCAATTATTAATTATTATTATTAATACAATAAAAACATCATTCTAAATCCTATGCTTTACCAATTAGAACAAATCAATCTGTTTGTGGGACACAGTTTAAAAAAAAAATAAGCACATCATACCAAAAACCAGCACTAACTCAAGAGACTGAGACCAGTCTGCAAGATTGTCTTAGTCATACTATTGCAGAAAGAACTCCAGTCAATAATACACAATGCAGGTATGTCTCCACTGTTGGTATGGGTTGGATGTGGCTCTGCTCTTCCCCTGCTAGGATTTTAGCACTGTCAAGAACTAGACAGCGGTGAATTCCACTTTGTCAAAAGGCTACACAGCTACACAAATTCAGGCTTTTTATTTTAGAGTTTCTTACAAAACAAGAGAGTAGAAAATAAATAACTGTCTGTCAACCAGAAGAATCACTGTACCTGTATATGACTGCATATTTTATGCTGGTCTGGCTGTAGAAGGGTTTTATTGTTGTGTATCCATTTTCTTAGGAGAATGCAAATCACACTCCTGAAGCACTCAATCAACTACACCTGACCTGTTGTCAGCTGACATTGTATGTGAATTCCTAAGGCTTTCTGAAAAACAAGTACAAGCTAAATTGTTTACAAGTAAAGCTGTTAAAGTGAGGCAGCCCTTCATCCAATCAAAACATCCAGGGGGTTCTTGAGTACATCCAGGACCCATAGAGCTTGTGCTTATGATTATTAATAATATATTAGCATGGAACATATTTGAACATAAATGTAACAGTTAAATACACAGCCAAAGTAACATCACTTAAACTATGTTCCTTCTTTCAGTCCAGTCATAAAAGGAAAAGGGTGGTAGGTGCTACACATTTTTGTACATTCTCATTTTCTTGTTCTTTAGTTGTCTTTCCTTTTTCCTTTTCCCTTTTTTCTTATTAATATACAATGTAAACATCTATTTTATCTCCTGTAACATTTTTGTACTACTCTACTTTGTTGGTAATTTCACTCAGAGTATAATAAAGCTGAACTGAATTAAAATCTCTGCTACGTAGTGTATCTATGTATGTATCTAGCAGTATAGCCTACTTGAGGCCTATAGCATTGAAAGTAGGCCACTGATACGATTTTGTGTTTGGCCGTGTACTTATAATAACAGTTTCCAGTTCTTAGATGATCTATGCATATGGCTATGCAAGCTAAATGGTTTGTACCATGTGGCACTGCATGAAATATGGCGTTCGTTTACACCAATGACATCACACACGGGCTCTGCTCCTGCGAGAGAGATTTTCAATCAGTCATCACACATAATATTTGCACTTTTTTTCAGAAACAAGCTGAAATATGAATGGCACTTTCATAGACATATTTAGAAAGGATAACCTCACTGATCCCTGACTACACTCCTCCTTTAATACACTGCCACAGACATGAAAGATGGAGAACCTTAAGTTGGCTACCCGAGGCAATTATTTTGATATCCTAGTACCACATTTTATCCTTTATGAAAAGGGAAAAACAAAATAGGCATGCAGTTCAATGCCTCTTCTATATTTTGCAACTAATTCTAATATTGAGTAAAGGAAAGTTGGCACAGATTACTCTTCTATACTCCTCTACCTTGGTGTTTGGCATTTATTGTAAGACCAGAAACAAACCTCTTAGATTGAAAAATGGAGGAAACATCCATTTAAAAATACTGAGGCCAAGGTTAGAGAAAGCTTTAATCCGCCCAGTAATAGGAAATTATAAACTCAGGAAGTTTCTGCTGGGTAGAAGTGAAGAAACCTACATGTATGGTAAACAGAAGGTGGCAGTTCATTTCAAACTTGCTTCACCAGTAAAACTTTTGCCGCCATATGTTTTAAGCTTTAGATGTAAAGAGAGGAAATGAACACAGAAGAAAGACAAAAACAATGAATCCAACAAGACTGAAGGAAAGGGTTTTGCTTCTCTGAAAGATAAGCATTATAAAATGGGCAAAGCATCTGTGAAAACGACAGCTCACTACTTTTATAATCCTCAAGGAAAACAGCACGTAGGTTTCTCAGCGGGACGCCCCAGCTATCTGGGAATGCTAACAAAGCCGTGTTAAGGAGAAATCGCCCACTCCCACAAGGGTTCTGTTTCGAAGGATCACCATATGGACCTGAGCAGCTGTCAATACAAACGGTATTGTCAATAGAACATTCTGCCGGGCCCATGAAACACTTGCCTGATCTGTTTATTTCCTCTTGTAATATCCAATAAGCCAAACCAGGTTTCTTTTCTTTCTCATGCCTTTCCCATCTTTTGGGTTTATGAAAAAAGGGAAGAGAATGAGAGAAGTTTATGTTTGCTGCCGTTCAAAAACAGACTGTAGTTTAATATAACCTAAAGGTCTTATTAACGGCCTATTTGAAACAAAATATAAAAGCAATAATTCTTTACAGCTAAGTTGCCTACTTTAATTTTTTTTAATCTTATTTCCATTCATCTGACAAACATTGTTTTTCAGTGATATACAGAATTTCAATATGTATTTCCAAAGTTACCTTCTACCACCTTGATAAAACAAATAGAATTTGGGTTTATTTTTGCAAGTGATTCAATCACAGAATTGATTAAGTAAAGCTCTTCTGAAGAAGATAGTTTTTAGTCTGGATTTGAAAGCTCTAATGAAAGATGACTCTCTAATATCCTCGAGGATAGAATTCCAGAGCTTTGTGGCATAGTAGGAGACGGCCCTATCACCCATAGAGTGTAGACGGGCTTGGGGAACAGACAGGAGAACAAAGTCAGATAAATGAAGGCTGTGAGGTAGGGAGTAGTAAGATAATAAGTCAGACAGGTACTGAAGTGCAAAGCCTTGAAGAGCCTTATACAGTATATAGCTGAGCATGAGGATTTTGAAGTTGACACAAAACCTGTCAGGAAGCCAATGCAAGGACTCCAGGATAGGAGTAATGTGATCACTTGCATGAAATGTGGTCAGGATTCTGGCTGCTGAATTCTGAGCATACTGAAGTTGGTTCACTGTGCTACACCAGTAAGTAGGACATTGCAGTAATCAGTTCTGTAAAAGATGAATGTGTTGACCAACTTTTCAGCTATAGTCAGAGACAACATATTGTAGGAGGCAGCCTAGCAATATTTCTGAGATGGAAATGTTTTGACAATATTTTGCACACGTAGGTTGAACGTCATGCATCAAGATTTTCAATTTATATTGGAATTCAACTACAGTGCCATCCACAGATAGGATTACGTCATTGGCTTTACATAATTGATGGGAGGTGCCAAGAAGCATGACTTCAGTCTTCTCCCAGTTTAAGGGAAGGAAGTTTTGAGTCATCCAAGGTTTTATGTCAAAGATGCAATTAGAGAGTGCAGAAACAGCTATGTCAATGTCAAGTTTAGTATGGACGTAGATTTGAGTATCGTCAGCATGTACTGTAAATATAACAGTTACCACAAGCACATCAGGTTACCTGGGCATTCAGCAGCTCCTCACATTTGTGGCTTTGCTTCTCTACTGCCACTTCCAGGCACTTTTCACTGATTTCTTGTTGTTGAAGAACCGCTGACTTTGTTAAAGCCTAGAAAAAAATGGAAGACAAAAGCATCCAGGTCAAATAATTGGAATTGTACTCAACAGCCTTACAGGCTTGAGGCTACAGGCAAAGGACAGAACAATTTACCTGCAGTAAAGCATGTTTCCCATGTGCACACGCATTTTAATCTGCATGACGGGGACAAAATATTTAATTTATTTAGTCATCAGATTACCAAATACAGGGAACCAGGTTTAGAATTCAAAGTTAGAAAAACACACTCAGTATATCAAGGTAAATACTACATGGCAATTTGGAATGAACCCTCCAAAAAATTACATCACCAAAAAAAACTTATGGGAATAAAAGGCCTCCAGTTACATGTTGTAAATTTCTTTGGGTTCCTTCTTCACTGAATCACTGAACCCATTATTAACAATTTCAGCATATTTATTCATCTGAATTCAGCATGCCTTCCAGGGCATTACCTTATTTTTCCATAACTGCATATATGTATTATTTAATTTCTATTCCCTCTGCAGGAACTCAGAGTCTTCGTGTCCTAGACCTACAGCAACACACTCTACACAGGTAGAAACTGACGGGCATTTACCTTTTGTTCTATACAGCATTTGCTCCATTGCTTTCTAAAACAGGTCACAAGAAAGTCCATTGAAAATAATGGTTTCAATGGAAAAATATAGTTTTCACATTACTACAGACGTGATGCAGGTATACAGAACAATACAAAATGCTTATGGGTGGTTTAAATGTTGGGTAGATCATTTCCAAAAGATTTCAACCAATATGAGTCATAATGACATACTGTAATATAGCTTACATCTTTATTGTGGTAAATTTCAAAGACTCTCATAAAGAAAGAATTAAGAAGGGAAAAAAGCACCATGTTTTCAAAGGACAAAGCAAAAACAGTTTGCAATTCTTTTCACACATGCAGCTGCCTTACCTCTGCCTTGAGGAAAAGTTAGATAACATTACTGAGAGCACAGTATTTTTACATTGTAATTGGATTCTTCTCAAAATCAGTGAAGAACAATGTTGCACAATCAAAAATCAATGTAAATGCATAAATGCAAGTATACATGCTGTAACTCTTAGAAAAATGTACAGGAGACTTAAACAATAACAGGAAAAATAAAGAAAGTATTTTTAAATATACTGAAGATATATTCCAAAAAATAAGATTTTGTGCTTACACATTTCACCTTCTGGAAGAGGAATTACATATACTGTAATACAATCCAGACAGCATAGATCTGTAAAATTAAGTTAAAATGCAATGCATATTCCACCCTAAATCCTTACATTTTGTATTCCTACGATATAAAAACATCAATGGAATTTCAAAAGATTCCTATTTTTGGCATTTATTTCAACCTACCTCTTTTTCAATAAACTCAGTCACAATCTCTTAAAAACCCAAGAAACAGCTATTAGTTAAGGGGTTAGTTGTTTTATTTGGTTCTGGACTGTAATGGGTGATTTCCTTGTGATGTTAAGGAGATTGGCTTTAACAAAACCATTGCTCATCCCCAGTCCCATATTCATTAGTAATGCTCATACAATCCATCCCCCTCTCTCTTCTTTTCTGCTTGATTAATTTCACTACTATTCAGCATAACAGCAACCCTTCTATCAAAGTCTTGTTCTGGTGCAATGTAACAGCATTGACGCAAGACAGACAAGTACACTGCTTTCAGATTAGGCCTTATGACATCAGTGTTTGATGCAATGGTAGACGTCCTAGTAGCTAAATCAAGCTAATCATTGAAGTAAATGAAAAATTAATAGGCTCCTTTATAAACTAAGCAGTTCACTTGACTAACGTTTATATCATGCATCACTGAAGCATATAATGTCATTGACAGCATTTACGAATAAGGTTACGAATAAGGATTAATTGTAGGTAGAAGATTAATTATTATGTTTGCATTAACTACTCATACAGTATATTCACATGACTTGGGTACATATGTGTGATCCCAACAATAATGCTAAAAGCATTTGTGAAATTAAGGACAATGGTTTAAAACAGTTAAGATTTATATAATATGTACTGTATGTATATTGAATACCATATTATATAAAGTACTCACTGTGCATTATTATAATCAGGGATAATTCAGTCATGTGGGCAATTTTGAACAAAACTAGACATTTCTTAATCTTTGTAATAAATTGCCCCAAATCACAAAGACAAGAAGTCTTGCTTTTTCTAGTGTTATTAATAAGGCTTTAATAAATTCACCATGAGGCAGTCATGCTAGGCTGACTGTTCATTCTCACCTTTTTATTAAAAACAACTTCCTATTCTAAGACAAAACCCATTTTATTTCTTCAAGGGATTGTTACTGTGCACTCATTGCTGATCCAATTTTAATGGGGAGCAGAACAGAGTAATGAATCCAATTCATAGATGGAGATTATTAGGAGGCCATGATTGGTAAGGGCCAATGGGAAATTTGGCCAGGACGCCGGTGTTACACCCCTACTCTTTTCAAGATTTAAATGACCACAGAGGGTCAGGACTTCGGTTTTACATCTCATCCAAAGGACAGCACCTTTTTACATATACTGTCCCAATCACTATACTGGGGTATTAGGACCCACATAGACCACAGGGTGAGCACCCCCTACTGGCCTCACTAACACCTCTTCCAGCAGAAACCTTAGTTTTTCACAGGAGGGCTCACACTTGCTTAGCTTCAGTGGGTTGCCAGTTGTGAGTTGCAGGGTGATAAGGCTGCTGGCTTTATTTTAACTCAATAAACTTCCCTGGATACCAAAAAACATATGGCATTAGTAGCAGTGTTTAAAGTCATGCCCATTGGGTCACAGGATTACCAAGATTACCAAACCTGAACACAAAAAGCCTGAGAGAAACAGGGGACATCTGAACAAGTTCAGACATGTTAATACTCAGAATCACAGACATAAAAAATGAAAGAAATATCTAAGAAACACATTTTCATGCATCAATCATTAGTAGGATGCTTGTTCCGTCAAGCTAAAATCTTGAAGTACAGGGTTCCAGCAACACAGAAATCACACATCACAGTTTTCTCCCTGGACAGGACAGTAGCCCACCACAGGAACGTAATTTTGAATAGCCACACCCATGTTTTTGAACGGGGGAGGAAATCGACCCAAGAAATCAAACCCAAGATTCTGACTTTGCAAAGCTGCAATGCTAACCCCCATGCCACCCACAAACTTAAATGGAGCCTAAAAATTGCTTCTTTAATTAGTATGAAAAACAGCAGTGCTATACGTGTGTTTACCTTATGCGAATTTGAGTATCTGCACAAAAAGTGAATTCCTGATAACCTATATAGATTCTGTACTTTATTCAAGATATTCAATAAATATATTGCAAAATGGAACCAAAACAGAAATGATAGGCCGAATCATTGTTTATTTAGTATCATCAGTAGTCCACTTAACCAAATAACCTTGTTTTTTTTTTAAACATGAGTGATGTACAAAAAGATTATGTTTTCTGCTTAATACATTTCCATTATTATTTTTTCGCCCACTGTAACAAATTACATTTAATTAAATTTTAAAAATTGTGCATAATTCTTGTAATGCTTGGGTGCTTCCTTTGATTGGTTGTTGCATGACTGGACATTAAAATAGTTTTCATTTTCAATATTTCTTCATTTAGAAGTCCTCCATTTTTACCTCTCATAGTATTTTATGCCATATTTGTATATTATACTACAGTTTTTTGGGGACATTTGGAAAATCACTGTAACTGTTTTCATTTAACGTAACATACGTTGGAAAAATGAAAAGAACAGCAAATACCCCCTGATTATTAACTTTCAGTGACCTGCAGATGTCACAGTGAAGACTGACAGCCATTGTTATTAACACTCCATACCAAACTGAAAAATGCCTTCACATGCTGAAGATTTTGTGATTAATATTGCAGAGGACATGCATCTTTCAATCATTTTAAAATGATCTACCTCACCTTTGCAGAATATCCCAGGTTTTTCAGCTGATTTTCTGTTAAAATGCAACACAGCCATAACACACGTCCTTCAAGCCCTGCACCTGATCATCGCCTGCTTACTGCTGCACAGCGAAGCCTGTGTGCAAACATTGCTTACTGACACAGCATAGTTCTACAACGGCCTTATCAGTGAATGGGGCTACCATTGTATGGAAAGTAACCATGCCTCACTCTGATTAGCCCAACTCCATAAGCCACTGGCAATTACTCAGTAAGACTTCTCTGCTCTGTGTGGAATTGCTTTGGAGATACCTACTTCTCATCCTATAGCTTGCCTGTGTCCCCTCGTGGAGAGGAGCCAGCTCCTTCAATTTCTTTGTGGCCGAAGTGTGACTTGATTTGGCATAACACTGAGGAAGCCAAAAATTATAAAGCAAATGTTTTGATATAACATTTTAATATATCCACACTTCATACATATGTACAAGAATGAGGGTCAATGAAAAAAAAAGTACAAATAGTGCCCTTTGAAAACACGGCTAATTTCAGTAACTGAACAGATCCTAAACTTTCTTATTGATATCATTCATGTGTATAGTTGTCACATTAACACAATTAAATAAGGACTTTAAAATATTGCCTCACATGAACACACACAGAGTAGAGGTGACAAGTGCTATTACCCTTTAGCTCCACATTATGTCATTTTAAGAAACAGACCACACAAGCTGAAGAGGATTTTGAAGGCAAAAAACATACTTTATTTATTTGCAGAGAGAAAATAAAAGGACTAAAAAACTTGTCTCCTTTCAGCACATACATTGGCATGCTACTGTATGTTTTCCCAAGGGAATGTAGTTATCTAGAGGACAGCAGGATCAGAGGGAGACGGGTGGAAATTCAAACAGACAGGAGAATGGAGTATTGTGCCATCTGTGTCAGTGGGTGTGGTTCAGCGTGCGAAAGGGAAAAAAAATCTTAGCCCAGTCACAGCCAAGTTCTCTGGGACAGTACACTGCTTCTCAAGGCATTTTGACAAGAAAGGCAATGATATTTCATGTAT